AGCATGTGGGATCTTCCCAGACCGGGGCACGAACCCGTGTCCCCTGCATCGGCAGGCGGACTCTCAAGCACTGCGCCACCAGGGAAGCCCTCTAGTTAATCTTTTAATAGGCGTGATTAGGAAAAACATTTCTCGGGTAATCAAACAGATTTTGGATACACCTAATAAAATGTAGTTCTGTGGAGATTTTCAGTCCATGTTAGTTTATATAAAAGAAAAATGAGTAACCTTCAGAGGTATATCGTTTCCCTTTCTTGCAATTACTCCATTCATACCTCCAGTCTTGAAGCGTGTGTGTGTGTGCGTGGGTGTGTGCGTGTGCGCGTGTGCGTGTGTGTGTGTGTGATGGGAGAAATGGAGAAAGGGCCACCAGGGATATACAGACAATCTTTCTTAGTTGCCATGATCAAAGAAGCAGCTTTCTGTGTAACCAGAACTATCTGCTGTGCAAGAAAGCTTTCATTATTTTTCTTTCTTATCTTCCTGGACAAACTTAATGAAGTGGCGGCCTTCGACCAGGCTTCGCTTTCTTATCATCTCCTTATTTGTTCACACTATCTCAAAATGAGAAAGTCTCCATCGTCCAAAATTGTTTTCTCAGAACTTCCCAGAGACCAGTGACCTACTAATTCTGTTTGCGTCTTCTCCATCTTAAATCGTCTGTATTGTCAACCATTCAGTTCTTTCTAGAAATCCTTGCTCCTTTTTGTTCTGTTAGGCTATACTATAGTTGCTGTCCTTTTCTTCCATCTGTTTCCTAAGGAAAAGCCTTAAGTGGTCATTTTCCCCAAATCCCCACCATTTCTGCTTTCACCTCTCTGGCCCTGAATAGCCCTGATCTCTCCTCCGGAACCAAGAGTAGCAGTAATTTCCACGAGCAATGATACCCGCATCAGAAAGCAAATAGATCCAATACCAAACTCCTTTCTCCTGCCAAAACCACACATTTTATAGTTCTCTACTGTCAAACCTCAGTGTGTAAAGGGATTTTTTTCTTTTTTTCTCTTTTCTACATCCATAACTCATCAGTGGCCAAGTTGTGTAAATTCTAACTTTGCAATATTTTTCTTATCAATTCTCTCTTTCCTTCCCATTGAGGATCACTAAGAGCAAAAATATTACCTCTTGGATGGGACTAATGAAATAAATAAATATTTTCATGAAAGTAAATGGAAAGGAAAAGAAAAAATTAAATTTTGATAGAGACCAAATGTCATCAAGATGGGCCAATTGAAGGTCTACTAACTGTTCTGATAATTTGGCATCTCCTTGCTAAAATCATCACCTGTTTGACAGCCTACAGTGATATCGATCCAAAGAATAAACTTCTGTTCCTCTTTCTAATGAGTTTGCCAAATAATTCAAAATGTTAATTTAATTGACAATAAGAAATACCTCTGCCAAGAGCACTGAGCCCTCAAATGTAAATGAAGTGAGTGAGAGGGGAAAACTATGACGGGCTAAAATACAGAGTAAACTTGAATGAACAAAAGGAGCACAGTTATTCAAAGTCACCTAAAGTTAGCATCATCTAGTTGACTCACAGATCAAATAGAACAAGATGAGTACATTAACATCTAGGAAAAGAAAATGTAAGATCATGACAGCATTAATGAGCCTTGGGAGATATTGTTCAGGGTCCCAGCTAAGTTGCTCCAGAGACTCCAAAATATTTTTAAAATTAATATTCCCCATAGAAAAGTACAGAGGTAGGCAATTCGTACTTAATATATGGTTTCCATCTTTCTCCCCATTATCACGGGCTAGAGGAAGAGAACTAAGAAAAGGACGAAGGTGTTTTTTAAGTGAGCAAATCTAATTCTAAGGCTGAATTAGGAACTCCATTCTCAGACCTAAGGCAGGCCTGTCACTAAAAGAGCTGACCTTTCTATCTCTAACTCCTGTTTCCTTTGTCTCTTTTATTTGTTCCACAACTCATATTTATTATTTTCCTTAAATACCCATAATCTACAGAGCACTTAATTTTAAAATATATTTTTAAGTTAGACTATTTTAGGTTTTGTATTATATTTATGTCTGTGTTTGTTGGGTCTTAATGTGTTTAGCTTGTCAATATCAACTATTTTTAGTCAAAAATCACCATTAAAAGTTCATTTATGATATAATGAACTTCTAATAATATTATTCTCTCTCCTTTTTTAATGGGGAAATTTGAGTATTATCGTAAGCTTTTTTTTCAACTAGTGGTTTGATAATCTTTGCATAAAGCATTTCCTAGACTATTCAACATTTTCCCCATTATACTACTTAATTCAGCTCCCAAGTTTGTTCTCTTATTATTAAATCAATATGTTTGAGCTCTCTGATTTCTGCTGATGCTCAAAGGCAAAATTTCAAACATATTCTGTTAATAACTGAATCTTCACTACACCTTCATTTAATTCATAATACAGAAGACAATACAAATTACTTTAGTCATACAATATTCTTAATAAAATATATTAGATATTTTAAATTAAGTGATCTGTTTGGATGACTATTTATATTCAAGTGATGGTATTTATCTGTTTAAAGATCTGAAAAGGTTTTTCTTCAAAGGTGATATGAAAGTGGTCAATAAACACATGAACTAATGCTCAACATTATTAGTAATCAGCAAAATGCAAATCAAAACCACGAGACAGCACTTCACATCCACTAGGACAGTTATGATGCAAAAGGCAGATGATAACAAGCATTGGTGAGGACATGAAGAAATTGGAACCATGATACACTGCTGTTGTCAATGTAAGATGCTATAATCCCTTCAGAAAACATTCTGGCAGTTCCTAAAAAAGGCTAAATCGAGTTACCTGATGACCTGGCAATTCCACTCCTAGATATAGACCCAAAGAAATTAAAGCACATGTCCACACAAGAATCTTTACATTAATATTAAGACCTGCCTTATTCACAATGTCGTAAACAGCCCAAATATCCATCCGCTGATGAATAGAAAAGTAAAATGAAATATACCCATACAATGGAAAATTATTCAGTTATAAAAAGGAACGAAGTAGTGATGCATATTACAATATGGATGAACTTTAAAAACATTATGCCAAGTGAAAGAAGCCAGTCCAAAAAACAAAAAAGCACATATTGTATGATTCCGTTTATATGCAATATGCATTGTCCAGAATAGGAAAATCTATAGAGACAGGGTAAGATTAGCCTATGGTTGAAAGAGTTTGGATACAATGTGGGCGATTGCAAAAAGGTAAAGAATTTCTTTATGGGATGATGAAAATATTAGGAGTTAGCAGTGATAGTTGCACAGTACTATGAATATGCTAAAAATATTACATTGTATACTTTAATGTGTTAATTATATGGTATGTGAACTATATCTCAATAAAGCTGCTATAAAGAGAGTTATTTTGGTAGACTAAGGCATTTATTGTATCACTTAACTGAAAAATAATTTTGCAGGTCAATCTTACTTATGGGAAATCCTTAATTATGTGGTAACAATGTATTCAACAACATCACTTTCATTTTTAATATGACAAAATTCATTAGAGTATATTAGGAAAAGTCCTATTTTAAGTGTCGCTGAAATTCTTTTTAAATTTATGTTAAGTGCAATTTGTTCACCAGGCAATATTGTGTGCCAATAAATAATATTTACTAGGAGTTGGAAAATGTAATTTAACCGATCTATAAATACTAATGTGTGTTAGTGGTGATGGGCCTCATTTTATCATTTGTGCAAGAGAGAAGCTGGGCTAGATACTCAGCTCTAAAGCTGTATGATTCTATGACAAAGATGGATGACAAAATAATGAAGCCATATGATAAGTTCTATGAACATTCAATTAGTTGGTGACAAAACAGCTTTCAGTATTTTATTTAATTCCATCAAAATGCTAAGTATGTCCATCAAAGAAAATCAATTTCATCCATGATCCTGTTACATCCTTTCCACTGCAAATCTTAAAGGCTTATAAATTTATAGAATAGAAACATTTATATTCAGAACTTTGAGAAAATTGCTCCTGGGAAAATCTTTCTGTCTCAATAGAACAGAGACGTAACTAGAGGTAAGAGAGTAAAATCTACTTAAAATACCAGAGGGCATTTACTATTTTTCAATTAGCAATTTCCTCCGTCCAGTACTAAATCCCAGGAAAGAATTTTCCTTTTCCTTGACTTATTTGATTTGGCACATCACTTAAATAACTATTAATTAACTCACTAAATTTAAATTTTCATAACTACAAGCACCATTGTGGAATTTACTTAGAAAATCAACATTTTGTCTAAAATACCAAGTAAGGAATATGAAAAGTACGAAATTCAGTGCAACATTTGTCTTTAAATAAGGGCAGTAACTACGTTCGCTGATTGTATTTTACTCGATTATGCAAGTCAAAAACAACCTCTATATTTTATGAAACTCTATCAAAATAAACAAATAGGAAAAAATGTTTTGATGATATAATTTCCCTCAATGCCCTGAAATTCATATTAAATATTATTTCTTTTATACTACATTAGCTGATTTTATCAACTACTTTGTTATCATTCCATAATAATTATAAAATTTTAATTTTGTGCACATGTAGCTTTCAGATAAAAACTTACCTCAGAAACAGAAAAAAACCAGCTTTAAGGCCATACAGTAATGACTGCTGTCATCCTGATTTTACAAGTTTTATTTGAGAATTACTAATCTTGAAAATAGAAACAATGCCCTAATCCTAGGCCTAACAAGTGATGAAGACATAAAATTTAGGATGAAACAAATTATATCAAGATTAGTTAGAAAAGACAGCAAATCACTGTCAATTTCCTATATGGCTTGGACCCTATAACAGTTTTGTATTTGTCTGTCTCTCTACCTATTATCTGTCAGATGATGATAACTCACACAGATACAAGTATAGGTACATATCTAGCTGTATACCTAGGCTTACTACTGTATTTCTAAATCACATAACTGCACTTATATGTTTTATAATTTAAAATGCATTATCTTAAAGAAAAAATATACTTACTGCCCTCTAGAGGTATGAACCAGTAGTGTAATAAGTGTAGATGTTGCTGGGCATATACAGTTTAAAGCTAACATGGCGTATTTAAACTCTTCTTCACAAACAACATGATCTGTTTGAAATAAAATAGGTAAATTAGAATAATTTACCTTGGGATAGTAGTATTTTAAAATAATATGAAAAATAAAACAATGAATAAAATTACAAAACTTTCCATATAAACACACTTGTTTTAGAGAGGTTTTTACATGTGCAAATTTATCCCCAGGAAAAATGATTCATAAGAGAGAGTACTAGACTATGAGGTAAGTTATTGAGGTATGGAGGATCTGGCCCCAGACCTGTCTTTACTAAAATTGACAGCCTTTGGCAAAATGCTTATTTTTCCTGTGCCTCATCTGTACAAGGAGGTAACATGTAGGTAGGTTAGAGGTACAGTCTGGATAATAAACCAGAGACTATATAAAGTCTCCTTTACTTCTGATAATTCTATGGTATGAAATACAATAGTACTGATTTATAACATAATTGATTTATCAACTTCATAGTCAATATAAAGACTTAGAAAGTGATTATTAAAAAATGTGGCAGATAATATTTGCACAACATACAAGTAATAGATTTTTATAATCAAAACAACCATAATTACCAATCAATAAAAATTAATCCTGAAATAAATATAAATTTAAATTATACTTTAACCCAGGACCTAGGTCAAAAATTCAAAAGATGATAGAGTCCAGTCAGAAAAGATAATAAATGGCATAAAAAGAAATCCAATGACATAAAAACAATAAAGAGTGTTAGAAAAGATGGCACGTAAGGGGGCGCAGTCATATTAAAGGGGGGTGATGCTACTCAGCCCAAGTATATTATTTTCATGCAAGAATGAGGGCCCGGATGCCATATACTTAATTTTCCACAGAAATCATATTTTAGAGAAGCAATTAAAGTTTGTTTGGGAAAAAAGCTGTTTGTTTTGGGAAAAAAAACTTCCCTTCCAAGTAAACTACTATAGCTGGTATTGGAAATAAAGACTGTTTAAAGTTCTAATTAAATAAATATTCTTAGGCAGAAAATAGCAGTTTTAGCTAAATTAAGAAATAGAAGGTTGAATAGGTGAGTCGGATCTATAAAATGAATACATACACCATACAATTTATGAAGAAACAAGATTACTTGGGAAATCGTTCATCAAATGCTCCAGACAGATAAATAATAACATTACTCCAATTTGTATAACATGAGTTAGCATATGAAAGAGCCCATTATTTTTTTCTTTTTCCTTCATTTCCTTATTCATTTTTTTTCTTTCACCTTTTATGGAAGAAATTGTATGCTATGGTTACATACCAGGATTTACTCTTAAAAAAATCAAGAATCTGCTAGCAATGTCTCTTTCTTTGTTTCTCTTTCATCTTTTTTTGCTTGTCAAATATACTATAATGATAATTTTTAAGGAAAATCTCAAAAATACATAACCATGATACTTAATATTTGGCAGGAAGGTAGGTAGATTCAAAATCCAATTTTGAATGTGGAAAAGTATACAAAAATATTTGCAAAATAACAGTGACTTAAACCACTATTTCGATATTTCTCAAAATAATTTTTGAGTGTGTATGACCTATCTATGAAAATAAAGTAACAAAACTGCTAAATGAAGAGTGTTATTACTTTAGAATCATATGATAGCCATACATATGGGGTCCATAAATCTTAAACCAAAAATTGAACATATGATTTAAGAAAAATGTTTACACGTATTATGACATGAGATAGACTACCAGAAAATTTAGAAGGTAAGTTTACCATATATGCAAAACCACATGCAATTATTAACTTTCCCTTGGTTTAATGTACAAACCGTCTTTCTTCTAGTAGGGGACCATGAGAAAATGTGATAGCTCTGTGACAGCTGAAAAATATTCCATCTTATTTCCCTTCAGTGTTAAAAAGTAAAAAATTGGGTCCCCTTCCTTCCCTTTTCCTCACTTAATGTGTTCATCTGTGTTTGGTTGGGAATGGTTGATGGAAGATCATGTTGTACTCGCTAATTTTTCAAAAACTATACTAATCTGTGGGAAATGGAAAGAAGGGAAAGATTAGTAAGTTTTAGGTACTAATTTTTATTTCTGTATATGCTTTTTTCTACAAGTAAGTAAAGTTTTTACAGTGTCTATTAGCCTATCCAGCACTGTACATATTACTGGAGGCTATTTTACACATAAATACAAAGTAGGTTCTGCACTATTTTAGTAAATACTGAATTATTTAGAAAGACAACCACTGTATGAATTAAGAGAAAGTTTATTTTGTTTAGTATTGTATGTGAGTCATTAATACAAATTTAAGATATGATCATTAATAATAAGTATGTGCCCACTACTGTCAGTGTCAGTAGTGGGCACATACTAATTGGTGCAAGCAATTGTCTCTCTTGCGTTGTCTTTTTTTGGTTATTCATACCTGGGCATTTACATATTGAAATATACACTTCCTTACTATTAATTATTTCCCTCTCTTTCTCCTTCATATTACAATTAGGACATTATATTAACTATTTAAAATGTATTCATATAGATGTTTACATTTACTCTGAATTTCATTCCAGGATAGTAAAGGAAGTGTTACAAAATATTTATCATAAAAAAGAGGTATTGGATCAGATACGTTGAAAACGATCGTCTTAGATTAATGAGTTAATTGTATATAATGTTGGGATTCCTTGTTAGATAATAAGAAAAATCAGTACTCTTTTTATAAAGAAAACATCTATGTAATCAATAAGGATGATTGTATAATCTCCAAAATATACAAACAGCTCAGGCAGCTCAATATTAAAAAAATAAACAACCCAATCAAAAAATGGGTGGAAGACCTAAATAGACATTTCTCCAAAGAAGACATACAGATGGCCAGCAAACACATGAAAAGATGTTCAACATCACTAATTATTAGAGAAATGCAAATCAAAACTACAATAAGGTATCACCTCACACCGGTCAGAATTGCCATCATCAAAAAATCTACAAAAAATAATTTCTGGAGAGGGTGTTGAGAAAAGGGAACCCTCATGAATTTTTGGTGGGAATGTAAATTGATACAGCCACTACGGAGATTCCTTAAAAAACTTAAAATAGAACTACCATATGACCCAGCAATCCCACTACTGGGCATATACCCAGAGAAAACCATAATTCAAAAAGACACATGCACCTCAATGTTCACTGCAGCACTGTTTACAATAAGCAGGACATGGAAGCAACCTAAGTGCCCATCAACAGATGAATGGATAAAGAAGATGTGGCACATATATACAATGGAATATTACTCAGCCATAAAAAGAAACAAAATTGAGTTACTTGTAGTGAGATGGATGGACCTAGAGTCTGTCATACAGAGTGAAGTAAGTCAGAAAGAGAAAAAAAATGCTGTATGCTAACACATATATATGGAATCTAAAAAAAAAAAAATGGTTATGAAGAACCTAGGGTCAGGACAGGAATAAAGACGCAGACATAGAGAATGGACTTGAGGACATGGGGAGGGGGAAGGGTAAGCTGGGACGAAGTGAGAGAGTGGCATGGACATATATACACTACCAAACGTAAAATAGATAGCTAGTGGGAAGCAGCCTCATAGCACAGGGAGGTCAGCTCAGTGCTTTGCGACCACCTAGAGGGGTGGGGTAGGGAGAATGGGAGGGAGATGCAAGAGGAAGGAGATATGGGGATATATGTATATGTATAGCTGATTCACTTTGTTATACAGCAGAAACTAACACACCATTGTAAAGCAATTATACTCCAATAAAGATGTTAAAAAGTAAATAATTAAACTTTAAAAAAAAAAGAAAATGTGGTACATATATACAATGGAATATTACTCATCCATAAAAAGGAACAAAACTGGGTCATTTGTAGAGACATGGCTGGACCCAGAGGCTGTCATACAGAGGTAAGTAAGTCAGAAACAGAAAAATGAATATCATATATTAAGGCATATATGTGGAATCTGAAAAAATTGGTATAGACAATCTTGTTTACAAAGCAGACATAGAGACACAGACGTAGAGAACAAATGTATGGATACCAAGGGGGAAAGGGGGGAGTGGGATGAATTGTGAGATTGGGATTGACATATATACACTATTGATATTATGTATATAATAGATAACTAATGAGAACCTACTGTATAGCACAAGGAACTCTATTCAGTTCTCTGTGGTGACCTAAATGAGAAGGAAATCCAAAAAAGAGGGGATATATGTATACATACAGCTGATTCACCTTGCTGTACAGTATAAACTAACACAATATTGTAAAGCAACTATACCCCAATAAAAATTTTTAAAAAAATTAAGTTCAGTGCGGGGATTGCTACCAGATAATTTCAGGTCAGGTCAGATTTTAACACCAACACAAATACTAAAATATTTTCTTTTTTCAGAATTTTCTGGATTGGAGATTACAGCTAAGGGATGCTGGACCTTTATTCAAGCTCTGATAATCTCTCACTGGGGGTAACAAAACAGCTTCTGAATTGCTCTTCCTGTTCTCCAATTCTTCAGCATCCCACCTATCACCCTTCTAAAACTGTGTTGGCCAATACAGTTGCCTCAGCCATAGAAAGGAATGAAATAATGCCATTTACAGCAACATGGATAGACCCAGAGATTACCATACTAATAAGAAGGACACAAATGAACTTACATACAAAACTGAAGTAGACCCACAGACATAAAAAACAAACATGATAATCAAAGGGGAAAGCAGGGGGAGGGATAAATTAGGAGTTTAGGGATTAACCTATACACACTACTATATATAAAACAGATAACCAACAAGGACCCGCTGTATAGCACAGGGAACTCTACTCAATATTTTCCAATAACCTATAAGGGAAAAGAATCTGAGAAAAAATAGATATATACGTATGAATAACTGAATCACTTTGCTGTACACCTGAAATGAACACATTGCAAATCAACTATACTTCAATAAAATAATTAATTAACTAATTAATTACGTAAAATAAAAATGAAACTGTGCTGGCCAATACAGTTGCCTCTGCTACATGTGGCTATTTACATTTAAATAAACTAAAATT